TGAATGTGTCAGAGGATTAAAAATCCCTGTGAAGAGCTTCGGCTGATATGCATGACAGACAACGCGCCGATGAGATGAGGACAGTCGGTCCGGTCTGAAGGAGAATCCTTCCTTACTGAGCCGAGAGGAGAGACGTCGTCACTCTGCTCCGAACACAAAACGCACATATTTCCTAAACATGACATGAGGCTGAAGGAGCCGAAGGAACAGCTGAAACCAGAGGTCACGGGTTTAAACCCCGTCATATCAGACTGAGAAAGGTCAAAGGTCGTCTCCAAACTAAAACATTTAATAGTTCAGATATAAAGAGTGCACCACAGTCAACACATTAAATGTTTATACCAGGAGAGTCTTTTTACTAGAATTAATTAGAGCAAGTACAAGTACTTCACTGTGGGTATTTGAACGTACTGGGTAGTTAAGTAGTACTTAAACTTTACACAATGTCTTTATTCATTCATATCCATCTGCTCACCACAGACTCATGTTCGGGCTGCTGTTTAATGTACGTGTTTATATTATTAGTGTGTAGTTTATATGTTAGATCCTTGTTTACTGTTTCGTGTTATACTTTATATTTTTGCTGTTGTTGGATGTAACTAGGACCCTGAGTACATAACTTTGTTCCACCTCATGTACCACATGAACGACAATAAGCTTGAACTTTACTTAGCTCAGAACAGTCTTCTGTCTGAACATCATCTTTTATCCTAAAATGTTCCCAAACGACAAACTTTGTGTTCCCTCAGTTTGCTGAGAGGCGGAGGAGGAGACGACGACGCCACAGAACAAAGTGGTACTGGTCTGAGTATCGGGCTGTTTGATGAGTACAAGTACTCAAGTATTTGAGGCTGGTACGTCAGCCGGTTTAAAGTTGATCCAGGAGCAACAAGGGTCAGAGGTCCGGATCAGAACCAGGAGGAACATTCAGTAACTGATGAGGTGAATTATCAGCAGGTCAGTCTGTAGAAGTCAAGATGGGCACAGGTTCAGCAGTCTGCCTAAAACTAGTGGGACAGTTTCAGAATAAAACTCCTGAATGAACTTCAAAATAAGGGTCCTAAATAAAGACTTTAATCTCCAGTTCATAACCTGATCCGCAAATTAGAAGAATCTGAAAAAAATCTGAGCTGAAAGGACGAGGCCGTCAGGGGTCCCTGCACTAAAACCAGGTCGGGTTCTGGTTCTCAAGTACTGTCTGGAAACCACGGATTCCACATCCTCCAGACTAAAGAGGAGAGGGACCATCCAGCCTGGTATCAGCCTGCCTCTCTGATGGTATGGGGGTGCATTAGTCCTCTTTCCTAATAAGGAGTAACCCTCTGGACTGAAACCTTCTCCTCTCTAAAACCAATATGGCAGCTTCATCTGAAACAACCACAAGACTTCTGGACCAGAACTAGAGCAGAGGACAGATGTTTACCCAGAACGCACTGCAGCAAACAGCTCCTCCAGCTGTCAGCACGGTGGTGGAGGCTGATGGTTTGGGCTCCTGTCAGACACTGAGTGGTCCAGAACTTCTCTGGAGAGCAAAGGGTTCTGGAGTCAGATGAGTCCATCTGTCCAGGAGGTTTTATAGGCTGCTGGATCATGGCCTGGACTCGAGTTTTCACTCCCTGGTTCTGGATTTTGGTCCAGATTGTGCTCCATAAATGTATCACCGTACAACAGACCGGAACCTTAAGACCTTATAAGGTCCAAATCATTTGAAGCAGCTTCAGCTGTTAGCTGTGTTTCAGCAGAGCAGCTAGCATGGTGACCCAGAACAAAGAGGTTTTCAGGTGGAACTAGAGCTCAGAAGAGCCGGTTTACAATGTGTGATAAGCGCTTTACCTTCATGGCATGATTCATCCATAAAAACATTTAATTTACGAGTTAACGACTTTATTTTAGAGGTTAAACTGTGCGAAGCTAACTCACCTTCTGTCACTCCAGTGATGGGCTGCGCGTGAGTTAGCGGAGGCGCGCCTGACTCGGCCTGAGTGACTATTTATCTATAAATCCTCTTTATAATCACTATGAGGATTTTAAACACTTTAACATTATTTATTATTCGCATAAATTAAAACATAAGTTTAAAATGTTTCGAAACAACGATTTAAATTTGACTTTATTTTCACATTTATGTTCAGGCGCTCTGTGGTCACACATCATTAAAGGTCCTGCGGTTGAAGGAGGGAGTGGAGTGTTGTTAGTTAGCAACCAGCAACAACATGGCTGCTTCCTCAGGGTCTCAGGTGATTTCTCTGTACAGGATGATGCTGAGGGAGAGCAAGAAGTTTCCTTCTTACAACTACCGGTAAGAGACAGAGAGTGTACGGGTGGAGGGGGCTTTCCGGGCGGTTCGAGCCGGCTGTCGGCGGAGAGGAGCGGAGGAACCCGCAGCTAACTGTGTTGTCTTTCCATGTGTTGTTGTGTCGCCGAGAGCTTTCGTTGCACGAGAACACATTTAAATGCAAAATACATGCATTTTTCATTGGCATGATGTTCTTTAGTTTAAATTAAAAACATGTTTAGTATTAAAGTACCCACGCCTCTAACGTCATGTCTTTAGATGTGTTTTTATTGCAGATGGTTGGTTTTAGTAAGACATTTACTCCGTAACTTTTCTTTTTGTTGCATGAACAAAGTTGACCCTGAGCGCGTCAGGTCAGCAACAGAAACCTTCCACTAACTGTTTGTTTTAGGGGTGACTCTCAGCTACTACCACGCCGAGTTTTAGCGTACAATCTGAGAAATGGCCAAGTTAAAGCCGTGTTTTGTTGCTGCCTGTGGTGGCCATCTTTATACCGCGGGGAAGTTAGTTTTACTTTATTTGGTTCACGTCCGTCCTGTGGCTCATGATATTTTGCTAACACACACATTAACATGATCACCCGTCCACATGAAAGTAGTGTAATAAGAAGTAACTGTTACAGAATAATTACTCTGCAGTACAGTTAATGTCAGCTTTTGTTCCTGTTGCATTCAATGACGGGAAGAAAATCAGAATTTACACAATCAAACTGGGGATCCGATCCTGAAGGAACAGTTCAGGTCCGAGGTTTCCTCGTCCTCTGTTTGTTTCCCAGGATGGAACGATTGTCCAACAAACGTCTCCCAAGGATTAAAAAAACAAACAAACCAAGAACTTGGAGCCAAAGTTTGATTTATCCATGATGTTTGAACCAAACAGTCTAAAGCAGCAGCTGCACGGTTGAAGTGAAGGTGAGGAAAATGGAGGCCGTCCTCTTCACTTTGTCCCACAACATGATGCTGCCACCACCATGCCTGAGATGAGCGTTCTGCAATGAAGTTAAACTCAAAGCAGTCTGCTCCTCACATGAAATGAAAGAAAAGCTTTGCAGAGAGTGGTGAAGGCTGCACAGAAGATGTTGGAGTCAGTCTCCCCACCATCACAGACATCTACACCTCCAGATGCAGGAAGAGGGCCACCTG